GTCAATTGCGTTAAGAGACCAGTTGACCAAATCCATAATACCTTTTGTTTCGGATGGTAGATGAAAAAAAGCTTGAAGAGCAAAAGCAGGGAAGTGGGGGTGGGGGGCAGGTTCAGGAGAAAGCGAAAGCATGTCCTTCCCCTCTGAAGGTTAAGTAGAAAAAAAATGTTGACAGACAACATTGAGAACTGGCAACAGATTGCTGAGGTTCAGTAATGTTTGAAAGTTTGACCAATTCTTACTTTCAGGATAATGAAACTTCAAACCACACGGACGTTGTAAATTAAATAGAACTGTTTAATTGAATGCATATTGCCCCTGCTTTCCATGCCAGAGTTTTAAAGTAAGACCATTTTATCGTTAGCCTAATAGCATAATTGCCTAAGACAAATTTGGCCACAAATGACTTAGGCAATTATAATGCTATTAGGCTAACGTTATGTTAAAAAATGACTGAGCTGTAGCTGTTTTTGTCAAATCTTGAAAATCATGCAACGTGTATGAGTTGTGTGTGATTATCAAATCTTTCAAGTCAATTTCTGTACAATTGATTAAATTATAGCCATTTTGTTTTGGTTAATGTTGAATTGTTGTGGGAGCTAGGCCTGGGCGGGACAACAGTATTGTGGCACATCTCAGTATTGAAATCTGGTGATGGTATTTAAAAATTATGAGTCTCTTAACCCTCTGGAGTCTAGTCATGACCTTTTTAAGTTGCGCCAAGAGGAAAGATACACCTTCTCTGAGACTGTTTCAATTTGTATCAGAAGTAGAGACTTCAAACTACRCACTGGTTTTGTGTTGATAGACCAAACAAAACTGGGATTATGATAAATAGTGTACACCACTTTTTTTTTCTAAACATCTTTTATTTGATGCACTCGGTTGCAGCAGGCAGAAGGAAACACTAATCTTATGGTAAAAAAAAAACAGCTCAATCTGCCATCAGTCTCATCCTTCTATTGATCCAAAAAACATAACCCCCCTGACCTCCTTTCTGACTGAAGCCCAAAGTTATTAGACAAGTGCCAAAAAATCTTCAGGAAGAAGAAACTAAAAAGAGGTGAACGTTGAATGAAGTTCAGCGGTGATGGAACAGACGGTGAGAGTGGGAGAAAAGAAAAGAACTCAACATGCTACAGAGCATACACCCACCATGCCCCACCTTTTTCCACCCTGCCCCAGTAATACCCTATACCAGGGGTTCTTAAYCTTTTTGACCTCGGGGCCCAATTTGTTGGACATAAAGTGGCACGAGGCCCAGTCAGACATTACCACTGAATGGATCAAAATGATAATTATTCTAAATCTTGGTTTAATTTTTAATGTATTTACATCATAACTAAACTATCATAACTAACATAACTAAATTAAATACACTTACAGTTTAAAAGTAAAACTCTTGTCAAATAATCACAAGACATGATTATGACAAACATTTTTATACTGTAACCTGCCCGTAACAATTATTTGAATAAATACAAAGGTCAGTCAACAGACCACTCAGGCTTATAACTAAATTAAATACACTTTTAGAAGTAAAATTCCTGTCAAATAATCACAAGACATGATTATGACAAACATTTTTATACTGTAACCTGCCCGTAACAATTATTTGAACAAATACAACAGTCAGTCAACAGACCACTCGGGCTTACCAGCACAAAAATATATATATTTT